AGCGTCAAAGCTACTCTAGTATGTTGTGCACAATGTTATCGATGTTATGTGTAATTTTCCTTCAATTATATCACTTTACGTATATGAAAGAAGCTACTTTGATCAAAGAAGAATTAGATCAAGAATTTATTTTTTACATTATAATGTACATTGCTTGTAATATACGATAAAAAAAAAAAGAACTCGAGATTACAAATTTTTTTTTATTTTAACCCATTCAGCCTTGCCTGATCTGAGTCAAAATTCGCAAATAATTGGTATGCAAATAATTGGTAGATATAAAAATAGTTACAAGTGTTTATCCACCGCTCAACCGGTGGCTGGGCATTAAGTCATTTTTGTTTACCACTGTTCAACAGATGGCTGGGCATTACGTCATTTTTCTCTAGCACCGATAAAGCGGTGGTCAGCATGAGCATATTTTACAATTCCACCTGTTTCAAGTTATTCAAAATAAAGTGCGGGCCGTCAAGAATTTCCTGTTTTTGTTTCTACAGTAAACGTTCTAGGAAATTCATGATTGTATAATCAACAGGCTTTATTTACTGGAATCGAATTTTAATAATTGATGAAAGAAAACGATTGCATGCAGCTTTCTGGACGAATCTGTCAACATGCATGCCATCCACGTGAATGTTCCAATCTGTAGCAATAAAAAAAAAAAGAAAGAAAGAAGTTTAAGAAACTATGTTTATTGCTAATGAATATATGAAAAAAATGTTTCGTCGTTTTTTGGCCATTCCTTCATTCCTATCATGATCGAGTCGATAACTTTTTAGAAACTGATTCTTCTTTTCTGTTTATGAAGAGACCTTCAAAAGAAAGCTTGTCACAACACCAAAAACATGTATAATTACAGCCTGAAATCGAAGACATTTCTAAATTAAAGAAGACAACATAACGCGTTGTTACTTTAGAATATAAATGAACATTGCAGTTAGCATGATAGAATAACGCACAGACTTACAATGGGTTCGGCTGAGAGATTTTCACTGCCTCCTCCTAATTTTAGACAATTACAGCTAAAATCAAGTCATGCTACTTCTACGAAGACAAAATACTAACCCCGTATTTCAAAGTAAGAATAAAGTTCTAGCAAGACAACTTTTTTTCCCCAAGAAGTATCACTTTGTGGAACAGACTTGCGCATGGACGTTTTCCCGAACCATACAATTTTAACGTCTTTAAGTTAAGAGCCAGTCGTTATCTAGCCTCCTTGTCCTAATAATCGTCGCTTCCTGCTAACTCCTCTTTCACTCATGTCGCACACATCGTCAACAGTTAACATCTTTTACCATTTTCATCCAATTCAAGGCCCAAGAGCCACTCAAAGTAGAGAGTTGCTAAATGAAGTAATAAGAAAGGGCGTCCAAGGAGGGAGAAAGTGGTGCATATTATGAGGATATGAAGGCTGGATAACAGTTTACCATAGACTTGGAAATGTTAAGAGTGCAATGATCGGGAAAACATCTTCGTTCCACAATGCAACAGTTCTGGAGAAGAACTTTCTCCTCTCTTCACCAATGGAATATGAAGAGAATGAAGATGAGTCGATTCGGTGTACGTGGCTTGGTTAGTTTAACTGTGAAGGTCTAGACTGGTAAGAAAAGGATTGGAGTTCGCCCGAAAAACTGCCATAAAAATTAGCGATAGAGGAGCGAGATAACGTTTCTTTTGTGGGGAAAAAGGTTTAATGTAGAAAACAATTTATCACTGACAAGCCGGAAAGTACAGATAGGTCAGCTCTAATCCAGAAAATATCCATAGTTAATCTCGAGCCTTGTATTGTGTGAATTCTAACCATTTTTCGCGCCAGAATTTATCTTATATATATAAGACAACCATTCGTTCAATCACTGAATATTGCTGTCACATATTGTCTGGTACTTCTGCTATGTATTTAGTGATTCTTGATAAAATAAAAAGCAGAATCTGTTATGTTATTGGTGCTGACCTGGCATCTCGGCCTCAGTTACTTTCCCACCACTGTAACGTAGCTTCCCTGTGTTTCTTCTATAAATATTTTCATGGAAATTGTTCTGATGAGCTTTCCTCTTTATTCCCTTCCCCACCACAGACAACGAATTGTAAATATGGGGACTAGTTAGTATTTTTCATAGAGACAAAGAGGTATTATGGTGGTTGTAGTAAGAAAGGTACGAATGAATGTGTTGTTTTGGTGTAAGGAATATTGTTTCGTAAGATTGGGTCAGTGTTTGCGGCTAGCTAAGTTATAGTTAAGACAGAAGAAGACCGTCCTTTCCCCAATCCCCTTTTCGGCCTTGTGCCACATTTCTGTATTAAACAGAATAAATATCGCTTTCGTCTTTGGAACGTAGACTTGTGGGATTCTCTTCTTGTTTCTCGGTCAACTTTGATCTTCAAAAATTTCAATGCAAATTCAATCGTCATGTTCTGTTTTCTTGATTCCCGTTTTTTTTTTTTGTTTTTTTTTTGTTATTGGACTCTCTCCTTAATTTTCTTTTTCTCGGATTCTTTCACAATTAGTGTCTTGTGTCTTAGTGGTTGTATCGTGTTGCTTGGGGTGAAATGATTAGAAAAAAAAATCACATAGAAATAAAATCCAATGAAATAGGCGCGTATTCAAAACTACCTATTCGCACTCTCCATCTAAAGGAAATGTTTCCTTACAATAAGATCTGACATCACATTATTCCATCTTTTGGAAAATAAAACTTCTCTCTATGAAAGAGCCGTGTAGTCCCAAACATAAATAATAAGCTAAACACAAAGTATGTGTGTATACACATTTGAGGACACATTGCATATATACAGAGATTAAAGCGGAGAGAGGTAACATGATGACAACTGATCGATAATTGATTTGGCAATCAAGAGAGACGTGGGTGTATGCTACCAGTACGGATTTGAAGGACGCCATCTTCATTTTTCCCTGCCTCGATGATCAATATTCATTTATATACTTTTCATACAGAAGTAATTTTATTCATTGATTTTCTATCTACATCCCTATCTGCTTTCGAATATTTTCCTACATGTTTATTTATATTGTTGTTGAGGAAAATATTTAGCTCTTTCAGGGTTTTCAATATGTTTGGCACAAGTACACGCAAAATGACAATGTTAATTTTAACCATTTCCTTATTAGGAAGACTTCGGCATTCATTGACCGAGCAGCTAGTATCTTTTTCTCAAAACAATTTATCAGGAAATTAGGTTTCTCTAGACCAATAGCTGTTAGTGCTCTTTCCAGTATTGATGGAGGTTTCCTACCTAACCTTTTATTTGATGTAGTGTAGGATTTCAACATATTGATTATGTCATTATTTTCACTTCAAGTTACAGGTGCTATCCATTTTAGTTGTTGCCGCAGTTGGTTGTCCTAAAGTGATGTGGTTTCCGTTATCTGATACAGTTCTTTTTGTTTTGGATTTTAAGCGTCAGTCCATAAGGTTAGAAGAAATATGGTCTTCATCAACACACACAGGCTTCATTCGGTCAAAGCCATTTTTAACCATTAATCTGAGAATTATGAAAGGACAAAAAATAGAGAGTTTGTCCATTTCATATATATATATATATATATGAAATGGACAAACTCTAACAATTATTTTAAGACATTTTTATGTTTATACATTCTTTTTATAGATACAAATATTTAAGTAAATGCTCTGTTTATAATAAACAGTATTAAACAACATTTACCGGCCTGAACGCCCGAGAAATTTTCATAGAAAATATTCGTCCTTCGACAGGAATCGAACCTGTATCCTATACGGAACCGTCATTTAGCTTGACGTGCCTTTAACTGATTTGGTCACAGAGAAGCGTTCGGTTAGCAAGGTCGATGTTACTGTCTTTAAACTACAATCTTCCATGATTCTCTCACGTACATTCATATCTGCTCATGGCGTATCCAAATGTAAACAAATAATGTCACACATTATGAAATCCGACAATTATTTTAAGACATTTTTATGTTTATCGATAAAAAGAATGTATAAACATAAAAACTGGCGATCCGTTTTTATCTCTTCAGTCTTGTTTAATAATGAGGCAAAATTTGGAAGAGATGGAATAGCAAATTTCCACAACCAACATTTGTGGGCGGATCGGAATCCTCATGGTACAATACAGGCTAGACTCCATCATCAGTTTACGATTAACGTGTGTGCTAGAATTGTAAGTGACTGTCTGGTAGGTCCATATGTTCTCCCAGCACACCTTACAGGATCTATGTAGAGGGACATTATCTCGAACACACTTCTAGATCTGCTAGAGGATGTACCCCTGCTAATACGAAGACGCATGTAGTTCATACAAGATGGGGCTTCAGCACATTTTAGTCACATTATTCGCGATACACTGGCAGACATCTACTATGAAAGATGAATAGGTAGGGGAGGATCGGTTCCATAGCTTGCACATTCCCCCCCCCCAATAACCTCACCCCTTTGAATTTTTAACTGTGGGGCCACCTAAAACTATTGGTTTATTCAGCAGACATTAATAATGCAAGGACGTTTCATCAACGTCTCAGTGGGACCTGAGAAACTCTTCGACACCGTGTGGGAATATTTGAAAGGGTTCCGACAGTGAATGATCCGACGTGTGCTTGCGTGTGTAGAAGAAAGTGGAAGCGATTTTGAACATTTGTTATAAGTTGCTGTGTTGAGGTACAACGATGACTTTTTGGACATATGTTTCTATGGACATTTTACCTTGTTTTGTTGTCAGGAATCCGCCTCCAAAAGTATTTTCATACACCCTGTATATATATACTGCCAAAAATATAATGATAATATCTTCTTTTAACATCATGGATAGATATATACAGAAAAATCTAAATTAATAACTGCAGACATATTTATATAATTTTTAAATTGGTTCATTAAATTCAAAGTAAATTCATATCTCACAAAATTTAATCAGAGTCATACTGTTAATTTCGAAAATTGTGTCAGTGGTAATGAAATATGCAAATTTAATTTAAGGAATTAAAGAAGAATACAAAAATCCTAGAAGGAAAGAATTATGAAAGGACAAAAAATAGAGAGTTTATAAAAAAAGAAGGAAAAAAAAAAGGAATGAAAGATAAAAAAGTAAAGAAAAAGAAAGAGAAAAAGGAAGAAATGTAAGGCAAAAAAAAGAAAGGGCATAAAAAGAAGGAAGGAAAGAGAAAAGCAAAAAAAGGTAAAAATAAAGGAAAGGGAAAAAGGATGACAGAGAAAAATGTGGATGAGGAAAAATAATAAAAAAGAAGTAACGATAAAAATGGAAACTGAGAGGAGGAAGGAAGGAGGAAAACGAAGAAAATAGAAAGAAGTAAAGAAAAATAAAACTGTAGAACTGAAGAAGAAAGGAAAGAGATTGTGCAAAAATAATTTTACCGAATAAAGAAATTAACAAATTAAAAACAAAAGACCTAAAAATATTTTGAATGCTTAAAAAGAACCAATGAAATAGATATAGAATAATGAAAGACCATTTAAAGAAAGAAAAAAACAAAACAAATACAGGTGGTCCTTGACTTACGACAGAGTTCCATTCCTACGATGCGTCGTAACGTGATATTTCGTGTAAGTCGGAATAAACACTTACGTCACTCACCTATGCTAACGCAATAATAAATTAATAATCTAGTATATAACAACACATTACTATTTTTTTTAAGCGTTTCACCCCAAGCAAGGCGAGAAGCCACTAGGACGCAAGTACAGAAGATTTGGAGCAAGATCAGATAGGAGTGATAGAAGAAAGGATGAGGAGAAGGATAGTGGATAGATCAAGGCAACTGGAGATGTCGATTGACATTACATTTGAATAGTTGGAGATTATAGCTCTCAGGGAAACTGGAATAGGGAAGGGAGTTCCACAGGCGAGAGGTGCGAGACATGAAGCTATTGGAGTAGAAGAGACGGCTACATTTAGGAGTTTCGACAGTGAAAGGATGAGAGCGGAATGCCAGCCTCATAAGGCGCTTGAACTCATGAAGTCTGGGAACCAGCGAATGCAGCTCCTCGGAGCAACTGCCATGAAAGTATTTGTAAAAAGACAGAGAGAGTCGACGGCGCGTCTGTGAGAAAGTGACTGTAGACGAGATGCCAGAACAGGGCCAATTATATTGCATATCCGCGTCTGGAGCCTATCAAGAACCCCGAGGCAAACAGAAGGGGCTCCAGACCATATATGGCAGCAATACTCCATGCAAGGGCGAATTGTTGATTTGTAGATCTGGAGGATCGATTCCGAGGAGAAAATTTTCCTGGCGCGGCACAGGGAGCCAACTTTCCATGCGGTGGACGAAGCAATTGACTCAATGTATTTGTTCCATCTCAGGTCAGCAGTCAACGTGAGACCGAGCAGCCGCAGAGAGGTGCTCTCGAGAAGTTGAACGTCAGACATTCTAATGGAGGGCAGGGAAGGATCTATGACATATGTTAATAAAATTAGGACTAAAAAGCACACGGAGGACATAAATATAATACATATAATGAAATTATATGAATATACCTCATATAACGTAATGTAATGAACGTGAGTTTATTTTTCTTTTTTATCGAGAATTCATCAACTAATAGTTAACGTATTCTTCCGTTGCACAATAATGTATTCTTCCGCCGCGCTGTTTGCGTCATACGTACAAGACAAATATCGAAACAAGATTAAGATTACGTCGTAAGCACGAATCGACATAGATTGGAAGTCGTAACTGTATATCATAGGAGTAGACTACAGTAGTTTCGTAAAGGGATTAGGGTGAAGCGAATAAACACACGATGTTATAAAATCGTGATATGTGTCATTGCCGTTGATGTACTTCGTAGGAAGATCGAAGTCTCTTTGTTTTTATTTACACAATGAGGTTCCCTAATAATACTTCCTGCGAATCTTACCTAAGGAAAGTATGGCCTGGTTTTGTTAAGCAGGTGAAGTTGAGCCATTACTTGCATTATATATTTTAGAAGTTAACTAAAATCCCTTGTTTTTATTACCCTGAAAAACAAAAAACGGTGTAGATTCTGTATGGAGGGAAACAGAAAAGAGAAAGTTCTAAATCCTATAATTCAATAATATTCACGCTCGGATTTATGCCTAAGCAACAACTTTTTGGCGGGTTTTCAAACATCTGTTGATCTAGTAGAATCTCCTTGAAAGTTTGACTGAACTCTAATTATATTTACAAATTTTACTGGTAGTTCCTTTTTTTCCGAAAATAAACATTTTTTTTAAATGTCTTCTCACCGATTTCTGCCTTGGTCGTAAAATCAAGTAAAACACGGCTAATCATGACGATTCGTGATAACATAAAAATATGCATATTATTTTAATGCAAAGACAGATGAATGGAAGTTAAAGGTGAGAAATAATTAATGAATGAAATAAATGAATAAAGAATGAATGAAATAAATAAATAAATAAATAAATAAATAAATAAATAAATAAATAAAGAAAGAAAGAAAGAAAGAAAGAAAGAAAGAAAGTTCGTGAATAAAAGTACCGATAAAGAAAGAATGGAATAAGTAAGAAAGAAAAGAGTTCGTGACTAAAAACAAGGATAAAGAAAGAATGGAATAAGTAAGAAAGAAAAGAGTTCGTGACTAAAAATAAGGATAAAGAAAGAATGGAATAAGTAAGAAAGAAAAGAGTTCGTGACTAAAAATAAGGATAAAGAAAGAATGGAATAAGTAAGAAAGAAAAGAGTTCGTGACTAAAAATAAGGATAAAGAAAGAATGGAATAAGTAAGAAAGAAAAGAGTTCGTGACTAAAAATAAGGATAAAGAAAGAATGGAATAAGTAAGAAAGAAAAGAGTTCGTGACTAAAAACAAGAATAAAGAATAGAATATATGAGAAATAAAAAATAAATAAAGAAATAAAGAAAGAAAGAAAAGATTTGGTGAATAAAAATAAGGAAAATGAAAGAATGGAATATGTGGGAAAAAGAAAGTTTTGTAGAAAAAATAACGGAAGAAAAGAAAAAATGTTTTATGGATAAAAATTATGGAAAAAGAAAGAAGGAAAAGAAAAGAAAAATAAAATAACTTAGTATTCAGCTAAAAAAGAGGTTAAAAATAAAAGGAAATATAAATGAAAGAAAGTAGAGTGCAAAATAAAGGGAAGGAAAGCCAATAAAAATGAAAAGAACGTTAAATTACATTGGGGTACAGGAAAGTATTCTTTCCTATTAAGAAAAATAAAATAAAAGCTGACGATTGATCATTTGTCCAGATTTTGAAAAAATGGATCCAGCCGAGAATTTTTCAGCACCACGAGTATCCATAGAAAAAATAAATAGAAGAGAAAAAGAAAAGGAATAATTTTTTTCAAGATTAAAGCCATGTGGAATGGCCTGTTTAGACGTTTTTGCGTTGTTCCTGATGAACGTACCATGAATAACCGATTTCTTTGTTTGGTCGTGTCGATTTACTTGCTTTAATTTCTGCTGTCGTCATTCGATTCGAATCCTGTTCAATTTACTTCCATCTTCAATCGTTCCAACCCAGCCGGGCGATAAAAAGAGAAAATAAATCTTGTTCACGAAATCTGCCTGTTAGTTCAAATTGGGGAACTTCTTTAGTTGGACGAAGTTAAGAATCGCCAGCGGGTTTTTTGACGTTTGACTAGGAAATAATTGTCTACGCAATCAGTTGTTCGTTAGAATATCTTTACTGAAAGGGAAAAAAGCTATTCGAGCGAAAAGCAACCGCCACACGTGACTAAAACCTTGTCTGGAAAGCAAAATGGAATTATCGCCAACGCGACTCATTTACGCGTGTATGAGTCGAACTATTTTATATATAAGAATGCCATTAAAATAATAACTAATGTACATTATTAGGCGTCACAGACAGTAATGGGAATAATATACGCTTCAACATATCATGGTCGCAATAATCCTAGTATAGATATTTTGTTATACTTACTGTTTTTGTACCACACTCTTAGGTGAATTGTATTTAATAAATTTCGCTTAACACAAGGCTACAAGTTTGAGGGACTCAGTAAGGATTGTAATGTTATATTCATGTTGGGAAGGCAACCATAGTTGTCTCCCCCTACTACTCTAGAATAAAAAGTGATTTTCGAACCTCACAAAGTGGTCAAATTGCTTTTTCTTTTTGTTTTCCTTTTCTCTTTTTTTATCACGTCACAATCATTTTTCTTTATCATTCGTTTTGCTATCCTTCTGTCTCGTAAGTCAATGGAGTATGAACCAGGAATCGATCTCGCTATTGCTTGAGTTGTAAACCCCTGCTTGCTAAGGACGTACAGCCCGATTCTGGAACGGTAGGCTGCTCTATCGTACATGAGACAGTTGCGCTTCGCTCTATGGGTGATGTTATAGTATTCTGCTGTTTGTACGCTCTCTTCTCCCATTCCATTGGTCCTCCGTCTTCTTCTCACTCGTCTGAACGCCAACTTTGACAGCATTGCAATCTGCTGCGTCGGTTTAAAACTTAAATTACATACTTACAGTTTCGTCTGTTTCCTTTACAGTCAGTCACGTCTGACACAAATACAAGACTAAATTTCCCATACGTAAACTAATTGTTTATTCCCTCTTGGACTGTCAGATTAACGTCGACCAAATCGGGGGTATGTGGTTTCGGCGATTTCTTTGAACATTCGATCTTGTTCTTGCCAAGTTGTAAGGGATTCTGTCTCTCCCTTATATAGACATAACTCTATGCCAGAAACTTTTGTTGTTCATTGACGATAGTCGATGTCACAAGAGATGGGGGTCTTTTGCAGAAAGTCCCTGCTTCTCATTTATGGCATCTCCCTGTTTCGCTGCCGAATTATCAGTAAAATCGAACAGTGGAATCCTTTGTAAATTATGGTTTTCCGTCTTGTCCAATATAGAGATTTCTTTTGCAACGTAACCTTAATTGTACCATTAGTGACAATCTTGAAGAATTTAGTGTTTGTAATGAAGTCAGTCCAAGTTATCTTAAAAGAAGGCTTTGGATAGCATGAAAATAAAAAGCTTCTAATGAACGTTGGTAAATGAGTCAGTATGTTGTGCCATGAATGAAGCTAATCATTAGATTTGTAGACTTGTGCTTTCCTTGGGTGTCTTAAAACACAGGCCTGTCTGTATTTCACGTTTTCCTCGAACAAAAAAAAAGATCTGCTTATTTTAATTGTTTCTCTCAACTACAAATTAAAAGTAATGGCAGGATTCTTCTTTTTTATCATTTCATCCCAAGCAAGGAAATAAAGCCATTAAAATTTAAGGGGTTACTGATTATTAGGGAATAAAAAAAACTTTTAAGGAAGGAGAACATTAAAAAACAAGTATTAAGAAGACACTAGAGAACGATTGACATTTCATTATAATTTTTTCATTAGATAAAAGTTGACTAGGAAGTAAGAAGCCGAAAGAGAGTTCCACAATTGAGAAGGGTGATAGACGTAACTGCTAGAATAGAACTCACGGTTACATCTAGGCATTTCAACTGTAAATTGATGATAACCTGTCGCCAATCTAGAATTGCACTTAAATTCATAAAGTCTACGCACCAAAGAAGAAAGTTCATCAGAACAATTACAGTGAAAGTATTTTAAAAAAAGAAAAGAAAGGGAAGATATTCCGATATATCGTAAATTCTTCTTTGGATTTTATCAATAATCTCTAAATATATAACTAGAGTACCAGACTAGATGTAGCAGTAGTGTTCAAAGCAAGAACGAATGGTAGACTTATAAATATGTAAGATAGATTAAGGCGATAAAAATTGTTTAACACAGAGGGAACCAACTTTCGTAGCAGCAGTCCTAGCAGCTGATTCGTTATAATCTTTCCACTTCATGTCAGCGGAAAACATTAGTTCGGTGAGAAAGTGCAATTTTTAAATAATAGTCTAGCAGACTATTATTTTTTAGAGAATTATATTTTTCTCAGACTTCCTCATTTTGATCTTTGAGGTCAGATACAGGAAAAAAAGGAAGTCGTTTTTGACTGGTTAAAACTAGCGTGGGGAGGTTAGAGAGATATAAAGGGATTTCACGGAGTTTTGCACATCATACACAGTCGACTTGGTTATTTCGTGTCTCGGGGAACTTGCTCCCCAGTGGGGTTGATAGAGCGGCCTCGTTGGCTAGTTAAAAGAAGATACAGCGACATGGAATCGACCCCGTCAAGCAAAACATCCACCCAGAACAAGAGGGCATGCAACACAATGAATCACTGCTGGAGGTTGGCATCAGCCATGGTGATGGAAAATACAAAAAGGTTCTCTCAGACAATTAAAAGACAGCAATTTTGGAGACGTTAAAATTAACAAGCTATTGCTTACCCTATTTAACAATAGAAAGTAGATCGTTTTTTTTAGATTAGCTTTCAATTTGAACGTATCGAACATAGCTTAGACTTAATATTAAAAGAGGAATAAATATTTTTGTCATCAGTATAGATATCGAGTTCAGAACTGATGCCATCACGAAGGTCATTGATGAAATTTAGGAATAACGTGCCTCCTCGGGGACGATTGCATTAATGCAAAAATATCTACAGCCTGTCTGAAGTTATTATGAAGATCACATAATCTTCAATAATTCAAAAGGGTCTGAACCAATATTTGTCAAATTTAAACTCCATTTCTACCCTTAGTAAAACATTTAATTTTTAATGCTTAGTTTTTGAGATATTTGGAATTCACGAAAATGGACTGACTGAAGTTAATATGCAGATTAAACTAATGTTAGCTTAATACTGCTGAAATCTAATAATTTTTTTCTTTTTGTCCAGAAGATATGTTGAAACATGGGTAAAGGGAAAGATCTAACAAATGCTGAAAAGCAGGAAATAACAAAGTTATTGAGTGACGGGATGTCCACACTGGAGACATCAAAGGAGCATTGCAGAGATCATTGAACGATAAAGAAGGCTGCTGAAAATACAAGAAAGTTGAGAACTCGAGGCAAAGGAAAAGGTTTTAAGAACTTGCTTCCTCGAGATGAATGTAAACTAAAGCGAGTTATAGCGAAACAACCATTTTGACCAGCACTCAGATCTTTGAAAAGGTTGCAATTGAGGGAATCAAGAAGGACAAAAGGTGTAGAATACTTTGTGAATTGGGATCTGTAAAAAAGTCTCCTCTGTAACCTCCTCTCACTAAAACAAATATTTTAAAGCGTCATCTAAATGGACCAAGAAATATATTACAATTGACTTTTCTAAAGTAATTTTGATGGACGAATCTCGAGTGACATTTGATGGAACTGATGGATGGGGTAAAGGATGGATTTTATTCAATTCAGATTTGCCTGTGGCTAAAAGAAGGCAACATGGAGGCGGTAGTGTTATGATATGGGCTAGAACTGTCGACCAAAGCATAATTGGACCATTCAAAGTCGATAAAGCAGTTAAACTGAACAATGCTAACTATTGCAATTTTATGAACTGTCTTTACATGGTACACGTCCCAGTTTCGCAGTTTCAAAATGAAGTGTGTATTCATGCACGAAAATGCTCTTTCTCATCTATCTAAGCTTACTCGTGAATTTTTGCAGCATAAAAGATTTGCAGGAAAAAAGATAATGGAATAGCCACCATCAAGTCCTAATCTGAATCCGATCTAAAATTTATCGTCAATTGTGAAGATGAAATTATATGAAGGTGGCAAACAATATAACAGCAAAGCAGATCTATGGAAAGCAATTAAAATGACGATGTTGGAAATTGAAAATGCTGAAGTAAAAAAAAAAAAATAACAAAATCAGTGGATAATAGATTACTGTCTGTTACTGAGAATAAGGGTCACTATATTAAAATGAAAAGGATTCAAAGTCTTATCATATGTGTTTGTTATTTGTTCTATTATGAGTGTTGATAAATTTTTGATGATTTTTATTACCTTTTTATTGAAGTAAAATGTGATTATTTGGTTTTGCCTAATAACTGCAGATGGCAGTTTTTAGAATACATCAAATGAATTCAATAAAACATATTGATACTACCTAAAATGGTAACTCACGCTTTGTTTTGATACCTAAATAAATTGTTTAAAATTTACAATTTTTTAAAACCAAATTTGAATTATTGAGGTTTATATGATTTGCTTAATAACTTCAGACAGGGTTTAGAAGAGTAGCTATTCAAGATAACTTTCATTTCGCGATAAGAAGGACTGAATCAGTTCAAATATTCGTTCAGAAAATACCATAACCTTTCAACTTGTGAAGAAGACCAACACGCCAAACCCTGCGAAATGCTTTAGAGATATCCAAAACAACAGGTAGAGCGTCACCATTCTTATCTATAGAGTTGACTAGAACCTCTAGAACTAGAAGAGGTAAACGGCAAATAGGCCAATAGTTTGAAGAATCCCATAGTTCGCCTGAGTTCTTAAAGACAGGAAAGACAGGAAAGAACTTTCAACAAACGAGAAAGCAAGAATCCACGGGACACTTGGACATTTTAGAGAAAACAAGAGCACATTTCTATAGGACTATTTCAAAGGATACTATCAAATTCATATGCTTTGAGGGGAGCTAGTTTGATGGACAGAGTTATATACATATCACTCAATAGGGATTCAGTTCTAACTAGAAAGTTACGCAAACGATATAGTATTTTTATTACAAGTTATATAAAAAATTGAAAATTGAAATCTAAAGCGTTTTGATTATATTCTAAAAGAAAGGCGAACTTTAAATAATGAGAATGTCCTGAATTATCCGAGGAAAAATCGGATAAAAATTTGAAATAATTAAGAACAAGCATATCCTTGTTACTTGAATGATTTGTGAAAATATATTTGTCTAAATTAATGTACAATAAATTAAGATAAACGTCTCAATTATTTTCCTACACTTTGCCTCGATTTTTATAGATCTGATTTTCGGCCCCTTTTCTGGATTGATTATTGTAAAAACTGGTTTATTTGATTTTTTTCTTAGTATAATGAATTTATCTTTCATGAGGTACACAGGTTTTGCGAACTTCTGTCAAGCTACATATGATTTTCAAGAAGATATCTATGGCATACTTGCACCTTACTCATTTTCGTCAAGTCACGAGTCCAGTGATTCATTGGGGTCGTTGGAGCACTCCATGTACAACAGCCAAAGCACCGGTGATACGTTTAGAGAAAGACAAACTAACGGAGCCCAATACCCATTCGGGAGGGTTTTGAATTTAATTTCCCTTCTCCTCGATTGATTGCAATCTGAAAGAAATTGTGCTCAGTCTGCTTTACTTTTTAACCCTTGACAAGTAAAAGATGGGTTATGCCTTTTCCCAGGGCAATAGCAGAAAAAATAAACGAAACAGAATTGACCGAAAATTGAACCCGGCATACCGAGTTCATTTTCGCGACAATAAATATTATACTGACTGTTCCTAAAGTCTGAACTTAGGAAATCTCATTAACTATTTTTATCTCCACAGATTAAACATGATTTTGTCGCAAAAAGACAGAACTGATTTCTTTTTCTGGGGTATGCTAAAGGAGAAGGTTTACTCAATGAAAACCACAGATGCAACACACTTGATTGAACGCATAAAGATTGAATATGCAATGTGGAGTTCTTGCATCGAGTTCACGTGAATCTTGCAAAGCGCATCAACCTTTGCATCACAAATGATGCAAGTCATACTGAAGATGTTATCTGTTAATATTCCAATTCAATAAAATATTATTGAAATTTTCATTTTTTGCAAAGATGCATTCTTTTGCCTATGCGTCCAGATTTAAGGAACATCCTGTACCAGTAAATACCACTTTGCTCAACTTACCATTAAATAAAGACTTGTAAGCACTGATCTAGAACGCCAGGCATAAAGTGATTCACTTTTATCCAGCTAATCTCCCATTTCAGTATTAATATGGAATTTGTTTTTTCAGTGTGATCAACTACAGCCATCCTCTTTTAGATTAAGCTTCCTACCTAAATATATATATTGTAATTTACTCGTTCTTATATTTAAGGATACACTGTATGAAGAAATCGCCATTGGCTCCAGGCATGAAAGACGACCTGTTATTCGTTACAGTCACATTTGAAAACGTGACATGAAGGTAAGCGGCATTAACCCGGCAGTCTGGGAAATCGAGGCAGTAGATAGTTGGAGCGGGAGGTTTGCTGTCAAAACTAGCATTCAGACAATTCAGAAGAGGAGAGAGGACCAGGGGAAAGAGAGAGGAGAGCGTACAGACATCAGAATACTGCACAAGAACCCATAGAGACAGGTACAGCTTTCTCATGGACGATAGAGCAGCCTGTCGTTCCAAGATCCATAACAAGCAAGCATTGCAACTCAACCGAAAGCTAAACCAGTTCCTGGCTCATTGTCTTACGAGTCAGAAGGAACCCAGAAGAATGAAAAAGAAAAATGAATGTGACGTAGTCAAAAAAATAAATTAAATATTACCCCCCCAAAAAAAAAAACACTGTTGTCCTATTCGCAAAATGACGACGTTGACATAGCATGTTACGGACACTCGTGATTAACTGAGGACACAGGGCCAAGTGCCGAGGGGGTCTTTTGAGAGGGATCTTAGCTCTTCGGTGATTGCTGCGTGGCAAACAATACTATTAAAGCCTGAAGATTTGAAATAAGGAAACATTTTATTTGTCGACGACTAATGGAATCGAACGCAGGCTGGCGTCAGGAAGAATAGCCATTCTTCTAAGTATTAAACTCTGATTCTAATTTGTGTCGGCCATTAAATATTTTTTGCGCTAACATTTTGAAAGATATATTTTATTAAACTTACTTGTAAAAGCTTTCTCGCATATTTCAAAGAGGGATTTGAGGTGTATACTCCCGATGTGCTGGAAAATAAAGGAACAGACTGATAATTATAGCTGCACGTATTAGATATTTTCCACTATCTATCTATATATATATATATATATATATACCTATCTATTTCAAATAAAAAGTGTACAGTCATTTCAGCGAATCTCGGAGTCGGGATATACGATTTGAAATTTTTATTCTTTTATCTATCTATCTATCTATCTATCTTAGCCTGTTTATTTACCATTTATCTATCTGTGTATGTATGTATGTATGTATGTATCTATCAATCTATCTATGTAGACAAACAGAGAGGAAGAAAGACAGAGAGATGTGAAGTGAGAATGATTGAGAGAAAATGAGGACGAATGGAGATGTAAAATCTACAAATGCATTATTTATTTTCTTACTTCTTTCAGTTTTTGGAATCCCCCCCACACACATACACACACGAAATATAAGCTAAGTTCAGTTTCAGGTGCAAATCTAATTATTTTTCGCTTTACTTTTGTGTGTGTGTGTGTGTGTATGTAAACGTATTTAATTCAAGCTGAGCTCTAAACATCCCGGAAACCTGATTTGAATAATCATTTCCATTCATTTCCCAAATTAAAACAGAATTATTTTTCTCCGACGCCTTATTGAATTATATTGCACGTTATCGCTCCTTTCAAATAATGAATAATAGTCACACGATCAAACAAAATCAAGACACTGTCAAGGCTGACAATAAGTGTAATAGTTTTCTTATTTTTGAGACTGCCTGTGCAATAAGGTAGTTAATGGAGTGTGGCGTACTCCAATTCTTACTGATCCACTCTTCATCAGTCAAGAGTTGTGTCTTGCCAATAATAAGACATTTTACAAAGAATTCTGGGATAGGGTATGGGATTTAGTGATTTCAAACATTCCTCAAGTGGGCTAGTCTTAAGTAAACACAAGAATCATTCGAACGAAGCAACTTACCTGGTAGGTAAGTTGCTTCATGTTGGCTAAATGTCCTTAGATTACCTGGTAGTTATGAGTTCAGTCCCTGGATCAAGCAGTTAAATTCATATACTCTGGTCCAGTGGAATGAAAAGAAACGATATCACACTAATGTAATAAAAAAATCTTTCGCTCATATTAAAAATTGTAAAGATGGATTTGATGATTTCTATAGTCACCATATACTGGAAGATAATGGAATTATACCCGTGCGTATTAAATATTTATTTTCCCACTGTACCTTATCCTGTTCATATCTATCTATCTATCTATCTATCTATCTATCTATCTATCTATCATCAAATAAAAATAATAACAACAAAGGTTTCTTTGCCTAAAATAAAATTTTAAAAAAAACTCTAAAAGTGTATTGCTGGAGGATAACGTTTTCAAGGCAAGTGGACTTTGTAAATAAATTCATTTCTTTTGCCCTTGGAGAGTACAGTTATTTCTGGGGTCGGGACATAAGTAAGTGAAATGAAGAGAAACGACATCACATGGATAAATTAAAAAGTATAATAAAATACAAGTCGTCTCTCCTAAGTATGGGCAACGGAATGAGAACAGCCTAACAGCTTGGATTCAATAAAGGATTCAGTTTGAAATGCCGAGAGCATTACCGAATATAACGAATATATACTGAAGAAAACCGGAGGTTAAACCAACCGAAACGTTGCATCAATAAAATCAAGGTCAGGATGGCAGTTTGATTAAATCAGTCTATAAATAATTACTATTATAAGTGAAGTTGGTTTCTAGATAATTACTATTATCTTTTAAAACAATGAATATTTAGATATCATTGCTCATTTTATGCATGGGGAAATTATATATCGTTATAATAAATAAATATTATAAGTGAAGTTGGTTTGTCATGATGTTTTGAACTCGTAATGATTAGGAGTCTTGCGACAACGGATATATTGGTCTACAAAAGACTGCTGAGAATACCATGAGTGGAGCATGTAAGCAACGAGAAAGTTTTAGGGAAAATGGAAACGGAAAGGTTCTTTAAACAGAATCAGGTAGAGGCTGTTCAAATTGTTAGGAAACAATAAGAAAGAAGGCTTGGAGAATCTAACACATATTGAAGGCAGGAGGTACAGAGGAAAATGTCGCGTAACTTACCAAACACCTTGTGTAAATGGATGACAGAAAAGGAAGGATAGTAAAAAAGAAATGAGGACAATCATAATTGCCCAATATGGCACATGGAAAACAGTAATTACGCTTACCAGGCAATGAATGTTTATTTATCAAGCTGAGTTTAGTCTGGAACAAGGCTACTTCTGTGTTTTAAGTGTAAGAGAAAGCCAAAGAATTGCCTCTTTGAAGAACAGCTGTTTGCACTTCATAGCTGCATGTACAGGGGGTATAAGGCTTAGTGGTTCAGAAAGAGATAATGGTGCGCTGTGTTCGAATTCAGATCGAGCTTCTTACATTTATTTTTGCATGAATACAGTTGTCGGGGAAGATATGAATCCATCGCTTCGCATTCTCCCCCAGTTATGGATTAAATAACAGAATAAATCGGGCTGTCTAGCCGTGGTTAAGAATTGTCTAGCAGAAGAAAAACTCAGGGTTACAAATCATGTACAGCTCTGGCAAAGCACATACTATGAAGTAATGGAAAAAATTATGAAGTCCAAAATTAGCTGCTGTGCAGGATTGATGTCTTTATGATCTCGACTGAAATCGAGGAGGTACGTAGGTAGGTAGGTCGGTAGCTAGCTAGGTAGGTTACGCTTCAAGTTGCAATGATCATCTTTTCTCCTTCTCCTACAACCTACTCATTTATATCGCACACCGCATTCAGCGTTACCATTTTGACTGTAAGCCTCTATATTGACTGGCTCTCGCGCCTTGTATAGAATGAGATTTAATATAAGAAGATCAAATTCATGATATCGAATTTGTCTGCGAGACAAGCTTGTTAAATCATCGCTTGATGGTAGACTCCCAGATTATCTGAAAATAGAAAGACATGCCTTTCACACTTGCTCACACAAACTCGGAAGATTGACAGTACAAACGATTTTCAAAGTATTTTTCCCTGGTGCCCTGACTACATGAATTTAAGCGTGCTACTAGATTGGCATGTTGGTCCCACCCTTTTACTGTTGAAATAGTTAAATGTAACCACCACTTCTACTCCAGCAGTTTCTTTTTTCGCTCCCCGTCTATGGAACTACCTTCCATTTACTTGCTTCCCTGATAAATACAAACTTTAAAAATTTAGATGCAACGTCAGTCGCCATCTTTTGTCTTCTTGAATCTCTTTCATCTTTTGTCATTTCCTCAATCCTCTCTATTCTTAATTTTCTCTTTTACTTTCACTCCTTGTAACCCTCCTGTGCACTAGTGGCATTCCCACCTTGCTTCGGGTGAAATGATTAAAAAAAAACTTGAACGGTTTCTGGAGTCGCTTTTTCACAAATTGGCTTCTTTTTTCTTTGACTGACTTTCTAAGACGAGGTAGTGTTACTATTCGATATTGATTCTTATGAAGCTTCCTCGCCTGTGTTGCTTTTATCACATCTCAGTTTCGGCGCTAACTTAGACACATTTCAAAAGCCAGGAAATGGGTTCTACATGAGAACTTAGGCAAACGAAAATCTGTCAGAGTTTACACACTTTGCATTTTCTTTTGGCTCGATACGGAAATAAAGTCTTTTATTGAACAAGATCGTCAGTGGCAATAGATTTATTTATTTTAAATTCAAAACGAAGAAAACCAAATGAAACCTACAAGATAAAATATTCTTCTAGACGATCAGTTGTCTTCAAAGGGAATAATTTGTTTAGAATGGCGAGAAGCTTTTTTCTTTCTTTTTATGTGCCATGTCCTTTCAGGACGTAGGTGATCATAGCTCTCCACCTCCCTCTATCCCTTGCAGCTCTCCACAAGTTCCTTCCTTCTGCTTCCTCCCCCTGATCACGTTCTGTCATCCACTTGCTTAAGCCCGCCAGGTATGTCAAGCGTTGTTTTCCCTTGTCTCTCTTCCCCTCTATTCGACCCGTGAGTAACAGATTCTCCAGGCCTTCCTTCCTCATTATGTGTCCCAGAAATATCAGCTGCCTCTTTCTGATGTTAATTATAAGCCTCCTCCTTGTTTGCAACCTTTCTAGGACCTCATCATTGCTCACACGCTCGGTCTATGATATCCTTAGCATCCTTCTGTAGCCTCGAGTCTCTTCATCTTTGAAGGAAATCGTCCAACTTTCGCTGTCGTAAAGAAGGACAGATGTCACATACCAACTCAGTATTCTTTTCTTTGTTACCTATCTTGCAATACTCTGCCCAGATTTTGGAATGTGTCCTTAGCCATTCCAATACGTCTACGGATCTGAGTGTCGCACTTACCGTCCTCTGTCATGGTCTAGTGTTCCCGGCCTGCAAATAGCATTTCAGGCTCATCCTCTTACTTGATGACCATGCGTTCCGTCTTCTTGTACTTTATGTTTAGTCCTTTCTTCTCACTCTGACCTAGACAAAGTATTACTGCGCAACTCTACAGGTAGCACCTACCTCATTTGAATGGTGCTTTTGAAAATGAAAAACTTTGGCCTCGGTAAGAAAGACAAGTAGTAAGTTTTCAACGTTGGTCTTCACGTTGCAAATGCGTTGCAATGAATAATAGAATGGGTATGGGACGTGTTTCCACATGCTGTGTCTTCGTTAGATAGTCCAGAACCTGACACAGAGTTTGTTAAAATTTAATGACTCAAAGGAATTTTTTATTGCACTTTCCAATATGAACGTAAAACGTTAAGAAGAAAATGGGAGAGAATCATCAGTTTGCTCTCAAAATGTCTTCTTTTCAAAATGTCCAAAAATAGGGCACTCCAAAACATCGCCAAGGCAAAGATAGACATATTGTATACTACTGGAAAGGATGAATAATCATTTCGAAAGTATTCTTCTTCTATGTGCCGTGTTTCTTCAGGACGTGAACGATCATGGCTCTTCACAACTTCCTGTCCTTTGTAGCGCTAAGCAATATTTATTTATTTATTATCTGTTCCAATCCCTGTTCTGCCATCAATTTTTGTTCAATTTGTTAAAATTATTTTATATACCGCGTCCCTTCAGGACATAGGCGTCCATGGCTCTCCACAACCATTTCTGAAAACCACGAACACAAGCTCATTAGTCAGGCTATACCCCGCTTTCCTCTGTCCCTCTTGCCGTCAATATGTCCTGTGAGTGTCAAACTTCCCAAGCCCTCTTTCCTCATTATGCACCTTAGCTAATTCAACTGTCTCTTACTGATGCTACGTATAAATGTCCTTTTTATTTCTATTTTCTCTAAAACTTCGTCGTTACTCACGTGTTCAGCCTATAGTATACTCAGTATCCTTCTGAAGAACCATACTTCTGTTAGTTCAAGTCTCTTTTTCATCTGTGATGAGATATCTGTCTATATTTCTGAGATGAGGTATTATGTACATTATTTACATTATTCGGACTATTGTCCTCATCTTTGTCGCCATATTTATCACAATGTTTCGGCCGTTGTACGCTCCGGACTTCTTCAGGTGGTTGGAATGTCGAACTGAACCCTTTATTTCGCTGACTGGGGTAGACTGTTCTAGTTCCACGTGTCATGTTTAATGGATGTCAGTTATCAGTTATCTCCTATTAATTTCCCTCTGAAAGTTCTCCACTGACTTAACCAGGTATTGAACTCACACTCTTTCGGTCCTGTCACTCGATCTAACCAAGGCCTTTATCTACTGTGCCATGTGTCCTTGAGGGGTATGAATTTCTGGGTATTATAAACCTAATGTCTTCAGCAACCATTTTTACCAGTGCTCATATTGCAATTTTTGTTGCTATCATTGAAGATTTTTTACCAGATCTCATATTGCAACTTTGTTGTTATCATTGCTTTTCTCTGGCACTCCTGTGATGAGATGATTCAGAATTCACTATCATATAGGAGGGACCGATATTAATTTTTAACATACAACGTGTGTTAGCACGTGCAATACCCTGTCTTCATCAGCCGCCGACCAGGGGTGATCTCACGGTTTCGGGGGCTATGGCGGGACCACCACCCCAGGCGCCACCAGCAGCGTTTGCCACCAGGCAGAATATGAAGATAAGCTAACTAATTATTCCTTTAAGTAAAATCTATCTGCAATGAAAGTTTCTTGAACGCGTTTGCTGTTATTGGCGCGCTCGTAAAAGTCGTTATAGACGACCACGCAAATATTTCATTTGCGCATGTTAGGTCGTGATGTTGCGCGCATTTTATTTGCTTGTTTTGATCTCGACCAAATCCAACTTGACGCGTGTTGAACAGTTTTTTGAAGGCGATGCGAAACGCTTTTCAACCAACGGCCAGTGATGCCTATTTTTGAAAGGAAGGAAATGACCGAATGTCCCAGAAACCCACGACACCTAATCTCAATAGGCATCACGTGACACGTCCAACCATTTTCCATACACTCGGCACGCAGTTTAGTATTTTTTCTTTCGGTACAATGAAATTTCCCGCATCTTAATACATTGTTTAACTTTTGGAAGGCATCTTTTGCTATCCCAATATCTCTTCCAATTAAAGCGTCGCATTTTGCATCCTCTGTTAAAACACTTCTTAACTCTTTGAAATTTTGCTGTTGCTTAAGTTTGGTATCCCCAATATTTAATTCGCATGTTGGGCTGTTTCTTTTGTTGACAACCATATATTCTGTTTTCTTACAATTTCTCTTTAGTCCTTTCTTCACGTAAGGTAGTAACCTTCTGTAGTTCCGGTATTTTCCTTGCTTTAACTGATATCAACATTTAGAATCCAAAGATAAACTGGTTTTGTAGTATCTTCCATTTAGTAGACACTATTTGAGATAGAAATATGATAGACATGATTCGAGGTAATCTCCTCAATTTGGGTTTTTATTTTACAAGTTTTGAAATATTCCTCACAAGATAAACAATGTTTTTCTTCTTGTTTTGCAATAAAGGGGAATAAAACTGAATATGAATGATATCGACAAATATCTCCAAGAATTAATTGAACCAAAATGAATTTAGGATTCAATACAGTTTTGTTGTCAAAGAAACAGAGATAATAGAAGCTCATAGCTTGGATAAGAATGATTTTGAACAAAAAATCAACATCCTCTACCAAGTGTTCCAAAAAGAAGTAATCAAGATTAACCTTTCGAAACCAGAAAATATTATCTGGAATTGGAATGAAAGCAATGATTGGTACATATTCTGTACCCATCATAAGAATATTTTGATAAGTAATTAATGATACTATGAATTTAAACGGACAAAATATGTTTTCTATCCTGATATATACGTATTAGTCATGGACAGACAGACAAGAGAGAGATAGAAAGAGAGAGAGAGAGAGTTTAAAATACAGAGCAAATTTGGTATGAATTGATTTAATATAAAACGAATATGTAAAATTTAATCCCTTACAAGTCACATCACAGCAGTCTTACGAGGAAGAAATTGGGCTAGTCTGACACAGAGTCACAGGAAATGGGGCTTCCAGTGAAATTGAAATTATCTACATGATCAATTGAAACCATCTTGCGAATATATATATAAGTGTGTGTGTGTGTTCATTTTGTGCGTGTCACAAATTTGATGTATTTCTAAAGCATGCAAAATATAAGAGTTTAATAAAAGGCATGTAAAATTCAGTGATTTCATCAAAAGCATGCAAAATACAATGGTTTAAATAAAAGCATGATAATCGAACGGTTTCAAAAAGTTATACAAAATCTAATGTTTTAATTCAATAAAAAACTTTTAAAGAAAATAAAAATAAAATAGAGTTAGCATAGAAAACTATTCGAAAAAGAGTTAACTTTTAAGAAAAGATTGAAAAGACATACGTAATGCGTTGGTCGATTCCATGATCTAAGAGTATTGAAGAACTCATAAAAAAAGAGCGACAGATACAAAGCAAAGCAAATAAAACAAAAAAGAAAAGAGCTTCAAATTGGGCTAAAATAACAGTCTGCTTAATGTCTGAGAATTGTTACTCTGGAATTTGCTTTGTTAATGTAACCTCCTCTGAATTACTGGCGATTCTAAACGGCAAGTGTTTATGAGACAGCATCCTTTTCAGTCGGTATTATTTGCAGACGATACACTCGTTTTAAACTTCTCCAACAAGAGAAGAAAGAAAACTTTCGAAGTTGTAATCGAAATCTTTGGAAAGTTACTTTTATTTTTCTTGGGATACGTAAAATGTAATTTATTCAATGGTAATTTACGTGTTATCACTCAATAAAATAAATCAATCTTACAAGATTAACAATTATAAACAGGACTAAATTACTAATGCCTTATGTAATATTAGACGTTTTCTTGGGTGAAATACGTTAAACCGACTGAACTGTCTTTAAATGTCTCGTTATTTTAAGCGTATTGTGGAAGGTGAAAAAAATATCCAGACGTTACAGTAACGTGGCAAGTAAAAGATCGTTTTCTACTGTTTATATACACTTTGCAGGTTATTTAAAGCCAGAAAAGATTTCTAGATTGTAAGAACTTTTTGGCGATAATAATGATTTAGTGATACAATTCTTACTAGTTAACCCATAGCTCGGGGAGAAGAGGTGGATTCATACCTCTCCTAAAAGTGTTTGTGCGTAAGTGTATATAACGAGCCCAGCTGAAATTGGAACTCAGTTGCCTGATTAACAATTCCGAGCCATTATCCATTACACCACTCGCACATTCTAGCTTACAACATTCCCAAGAGGTGACCCATCTAGATACTGACCAGGCTCGACGTTGCTTAACCTCAATGATAGTACGGGAAGCGGTGTTTCAATGCTGTATGGCCGTAAGCCTAGATCGTAGGACAGGCGAAATGAACCATCACGTACCGTTTCTGCTTCCCTCCCCCACCCCAGAGGCCAGTGTAATGTTGTTAATTCAAGCGGAATTTTGACAAGTTTTTTGACGACATTCTCCGATCATCCGTCGTTCACTGCATCTGTGATGACATCCAAGGTTGAGTTGATTTGCATAGACACCCAACTCGATATGCGCACAGGTTCGTCTTCTTGGCTGTGATCGCTTTCAACAAATAATACCAGTGACGAAAACTTTTTTAAAGACACTGGTCACGGGTTCACGACAATAGGATTTCTCAGCTTTTCCTTCAACTGTACTGCTATCTCCCTAACTTCACTGGCCGCTGGACTCGGCGACTCTTGATTCCTCACTACCGGGCCCTTCTGTCACGGACCGCTGGGCAGCTCTGACTCCTCTGGTCATCTGTTACTTCTCTCACGGCTAGACCAACTTTCCTCGATTTCCTGCCTCTGTCTGCTTATATAAGCAGAGAGAGACAGGAAATCGAGGAAAGTGGTTTCCCATCCACTTGTCTCCCGGAAGATTCCCCAAAGATTCTCCAAAGTCACAAATCTTCAAAGGATTACTTTTATGACTCTAAAATCAGTAACAAAATTTTTGTTTCTTAATTTAAAGTCAGCTATAGACATAAATCCCCCAAACACTGACACATAAGTTTAATCAAAGATGGACTAAAGAAAAAATTCTTACGAAACTCCAATAGCTGAATTTATCTTCTAAAGATGTGTGAGAAATTATATTGTTACACTGATAACATAGTTGGGATAAGAATGATTTTCGACAAAAAAAGAAAGAGAACTAAGGATAAAACATTCCAAAACGGAAACTAAGATTTGGAATAAAAATGATGATGTTGCATACTGTATCCATCATAAAAATTCAGGAAGTGGAATTATTATTATTATTAATAATAATAATAATAATAATAATAATAATATATATATATATATATATATATATATATATATATATATATATATATAATACTAAACATTGCTGTACGTATCTGTTTATAACAGATTTAGTATCGAATAAAAGGAAATTGAACCTAAATTAAATTATGCGATGTGTAATTTTCTCCGACAACGCAAGCTGCTACAATACCAAAACATTAACCGTATGTCATGCTCTTAAATAGTATCACCAGCTCGAGGCTTTCATATTTATATCAAACATATTTTCCTGAAGAATTGTTAGAATAGAAAGTTTTTATACATTTCAACGGATAGTATCACTGGCTGCTCGGTCATGTCGAATGTTTCCACATAAGGAATGGTCTAATATTACAATTACCACTGTCCAGTGTTCACCTAAAGTATCTGATGCAGCGTAGATTTGAAAGCGGTTTTCTAATGTGTTCTTTACAGAAATATTCAGTAAAAAATGTCTTTTAGGGATTACTTATCAAAAAGGGCTTAATATTACATAAGGATAGCGCGAGACTGACAGTCTATTTCCTTGTTGATATGATGAAAATTATTACATATTGGCTGCGAAATTGTCACTTAGCATATAGAACGGCTTTGGATTACCATTCCTTCCTGTCTTTACAGAATTTGCTTGGTGAAAAAAGTTAAATTCGTAGAAGACCCCTTCGAATTTCAACAACTGCAAAATCCAGATATTATTTCAAAATTTTTCCATTCCAGTTTCCTTCTACAATCTGGAGGAATGGCGATAGTCATTTTCCGATATTTTTCTTTGCCATGATTAAACCTACACGCCATACTTGTATAATCATTTTAAATTTTAAAATCCCAAAGGATCTCTTACCTTTTTCTGCTTTTCAGTGGAACATTATCTATTTGTCTACGTAATTTAATAGTCACTTGCATAAATTCTCACGGAATACCTGTATCTATATCTATTTTGCTGCTGTTATACATTTACCAACGTTGCTTGATTAAAAAGGGTCGCGGGGGATGTGATCAAAGGATTCATCTCTTATATTCCATGATATCGTGTGTTAGAACGAAGCACTGCAGGTCATGAATCGCGTGACCAAATAAGTACACGTCGCGATTCATATGGTTAAATAGATAAATATAATACTGATGAAACTCTCACCAGGGGACACATATATAAAGGAACTATCAAGCTTCTATACAGAAAGAAAAGAAAACGCACTCAATGCTTGGAGAAGATTTGTAGGGCATTCGTTTGATGCTGATTTTCTAGCGCTCATGGCTTTAACACGCGAACGGATCGTCACAACAGTAGTGATGGACAGTCTGGAAATGTTCTGAAAGAGCAACATCAACTTCCATCCAAGCTCTATAAATCACTTATTAACCTGCAGTAGAGGTAAAAAGAATGAGAAGTCATTACGGCAATGAAAATATTTCTAGAAAAGACAAAGGGATGTGACGGTGGAAAACTGACTTTAAAACGTTTTTCCACAAAGAATACATAGCAGAAATCTAGAGGAATTTAAATAAAAGATTATATGAACACAAAACGGAAATCTTACAAAACAACACACGCATTAGTTGCTCTCCATAATGAGACTGGCCATAATTTCGATGTAAAAAATGCCACTTTAATTAAAAGAGAAAGCAATTTACTAGTACGAAGGTACTTTAATCACTCGATCATCCACAGTAAATTTTCTTGGAAAAATCTATTATCACAATATGGGGTATTTAATAACAAAAGTGATAAAATCATAAACAAAAAGAAGCTAAATTGACTACAATAATAACAATATATTCAAACACATAATAGAAAAATTAAATGATTAAAATTCCAGCGTTGTTTCCTCTTTGTGCGCATGCGTAGTTACATCAACGTTAACAACACTTTAGTCCGATGAAGTCCAAACGAAACGCATCACATAATTTTTTTTCATTTTGTCATTAATTTTCCTCGCATTCTTCTGGTATATAAAAATTTATATATCATTTTCTTCCACATGGGAATATAAAATGAAACCGTAACTTAGGTCATATCTGCAGAAACAGCGAAAGAATAGTCGTTAATAGATACCTGAAATATGAGTCTGTCCGATATTTCATCAGCATAATAAATATCAATTCTATTCCGTTTTCTTTAAGGCGTTCTCCTCTGAAAATTATAATATTAAGAAACACAAGTGTTTTATTAGTAATACGCTGTATCAATCATTATTAATGAGTTCATTGACCATAATTCCTTGTTTAGTTGTGAAGTCAAATCATATTTTACCAAGAATAGAGTAACGGTTATTGCCTTGGAAAGTGGAATCGGCGAGTTAAGTTTAAATCCTAGCACAGTGTGTTGCGTTTACTTTCGCACTAGTGTCGTTCGGAAATGCGAGAATGCATTTCTTATCCCCATAGACAAGGATTAAATATCAAGGCAGACAAAGCTTTTGAACCTTGGGTGACAGCCAGTCTAGAAGAATGACAACTATGAATTCATAATCCTGGAAAATGCACCTCCACCCTCCCCAACCAAAAAAAAAAAAAAAGAAAAAAATATGGGAGTTCATAGGTCATAAAGAAATGGAAAGTGAGGCGAGCCATGATCGCCTGATGTCCTGAATGGACATGCGAGTGAAAAAAAAATTACGAGAAGTTTGACCAGGAAAAAAATTACATTCTTTCACATCTGGTCTCCAATGTCTTGTTCGAAATAGTCCCAGCTCGAAAGGAAACTACATGCGAAATATAACAGCCAATTCCGTACTGTATTAGCTGTTAGAGGAAGTACAATAAAGTTATCTTGGCTATTTTAAACTTTATTTGTCTCTATCACGAATCGAGGAGCCTCTTCTGCACCCATTTCTGGATCACCTCCAGTCATTTTCCTTCCTAAATTGATGATGTGGAATTGTAATTATCCTAGACGTGTGATTACTCGAGATTACAAAATGATGACTTGCTTATCGATTTTGCCGGCATATCGAATAAACGATCGTTAAAGAAGAAGGCTACGTGCCTTTAGGAGTCAGTATTACTTTCACTGCTGAATTTCTGAAGATACATGGTTAATATTGGATTTATTCTGCTCACGAATGTTGTTGAATAATTGAATCATTCTTAAATTTCCCGTTGGCTGTAACTATGAAATGTTATGGCAAAAATCTTCAAGCTATTGGCACAATCTGAAGCATGAAACTACATCGGAATCTTAAAGATATTGCAAGTTTTTTTTTTTTTTAATTGAGTTCACCCCAAGCAAAATATTAAAGCCACTAAGACACAAGGGGTTACTGGGTGCGGAAGAATTAGAAACAGAATAATTGCTAATTAGCGAGAACAAAAATAGTAATCAGGAGGACAGTAGTTAGCGATTGATATTGCATTTAGATTTGTCAAGCTTAAAGTTGTCTGGAAAGCATAAATGAGATGTTTACTGATTACTCTAGCACAAAGGTTAAGAAGATTATTTTATGCCTCTCAGTCCTGAAAATAAGCATCCGAAATATTGAATATTCCCTGGATTCGATATGGCGAGTAATGTAGAATTGTATTAGCTCGCTAGAGAGCCAATTTTAGCTTCTATTCATAGCAAACCGATTCTTATATTCTGTTCATTTAATGTCATTAACTAATACCCTTTTGTTCCTTTCGTTCATTGGTGCATATATTACGCTTCCATTGCATTTTCTCTGTCTAAGATATGAAATAGCAGTAAGAAGAAGCAAAAGAGACATCCCAAAGTAATAGTTACACAATCAACTAAATACATAAATTGAACAACATGGTGCGATGGGAAAATTTTATATTTTCAATTTCCCAGATGCGCGTTGTTCTTTTTGATTTTGTCGCCTGCACAGTATATTAGGGTCAGTTGGGCAATGACTGTAAGAAAAAGAGCACCATGACGCAATTCACTCAGCCATAAATGTGTAAACGGCATGCTGTATTGCTTGGCATTCGCACCTGAAGCTTCAATACGAACACTTCAGATTTTGGGTGTCAATCTGAGGACAGAGCAGAGGATTAGGAAAGAGTTAGATGAGTCTAATGGTGATTATGAAGGTAGG